GCAGATCTGGTGTTATTTATTACCCGAGGTCCTCCAGCTCCCTGTGTGTTGGTGCAGAAAGCAGCATGGACACTTTAATTGTTCATTCCAGCCATTAAACAGTAAATCCTGTCATACCTGTTCACCTGACACACACACACACACACACACACACACACACACATACTAAAACATGTAGAACCTGTCAGAGGGGCGAGCAGAATGCAAAACAGACCTCTGAATCCCTCAGACATGCACACAGTCCATTAGCTAGCCCACACCAGCAGCTGCTGTGCGCGCTTGCACCGCAATATGACATTTTGGATTGGAAATACCCATGCATGCATACATGCGTCATGGAAGTGATATGCTTATGGGATCAAATCTCTAAAGCTTGTTTACTGTGTACAGCTGCATAGACGTGCAAGTGCCAAGCATAAGAAAAAAAAAAGAAGAAAAAAAAACACTGTTTATGTGCTTGAGTGTGTGTGTTTGTGTGTAACGCTTGACCGAGTCCATGGATAGAGCCCATTGCCAGCCAGCCAGTAAGTCACTCTTCTGAATTATTGAAACAGGTCAGTAAGCAGGAGGAGAGCAGCGTCTGCATGTGTGCAGTTGTCGATTGTGCAGCACCGCACTTCAGATTCACAGCTTAAGTTTGCTGTTCTGTTCCGACGCTGCATACAGGGAATTAATGGCTGCGCCCTCCATTCAAGGCTTATAAAAACAATTTTTGGGGGACAAATATAAAACACTGCATACAGAGATCCATCAGAATGCATCAACCTCAACCATATAAAGTAAAGACTGAATGACAGTGTTACAAATGGTGATATTTAACAGCCCAACTAAATCTGCAAGAAGCTCCAGAGCAGCTGCGCTCTCTTCTGCTCCTGTTGTCCTGGGATGGTTTTTTTTTTTAGTTATTTTTTTTTTGTTTTATTCCAACAAAGCAGCAGCAGCCAAAATAAATAGTGCAGCAGGATAAATACCAAGGGTAAGCAATGTTACAAGATGAAATGCATATAAAGAAAGCAGTCAGAGGCTCTGATCTGTGCTGCTATGATGTCTAACGCAACAATGGAGCAGATGCACACACAAGTTGTTAGACTTTTTTCCGCCTGAAAAAATAGGAAAGGAAAACATAACACTTGTCTTTAAATACAAGCTGTTCTCTTTTGATTTTTTGTTTGGATCCAGTGATTAAAGAAACTACAGAGATGTAGTTAAAAATAGTAAAGTAAGGCAGGGTTGTATAGGAAAAATGTCTAAATTAGGTTTAAAAAATAGCATTTGTTTAGCACAAACACCAACTGCAACAGCAACAAATGAAACAGTAATTAAGACATCTGCTGATTCTTAAATATTAACAAAGATGCAATAAAAAGAAGATAAGCATTTGACTAATTTTCCAACATGAAGCATTGAGTTTTGAGGTGTGGGTAGAGATGCAGGTTAGGTCAATAAAAACACATTAAATGCAAATCAAAAGCAACCAAACTTTGCTTTCATGGCTGAAACACAGTGCTAATTTGCAGCCACATGGGCCTCTTGGTCCCCCAGTGGAGGCTTAAACCAACAGGGACCAACAGTTCCCCCTTGTGAGGAGGACACTGATGTCTAAAAAACCAACAACCCTGTGTCCCCCACCACCTCCACCTAAGCAACACTGGCTGCTCCGAGGGCTGACGGACTTGACGTAGGGGTGCATGACGAGGCCAGGCCCACTTTCAGTGACACCTGCTCCAACTGTAGGAGCCTTAACATCAGCATGGCGCGGTGGATTCACTCTGGTCACCTGCTATTTGCTTTCAGGTTTTGGCGAGTTGGAATATTGGGGTGATTCAGTTTGAACTGGAAACTGATTCTGAAGAAGAGTGGTGATACAGACCCACCCTACAAGTTCTGGTTCCTGAGGTTTGCCACATATGAAACCCTAAATCCATTGGTGGAGCCTTTAACCTCATGATGCCTTATTTGTTGGGATCAGACTCTATTGGGGTCAAGCTCTATTTGATTTGTATTTCTATCTTTGCGTAAGTCAGTGCTGACAGTCTTGTTGTCATTTGGGGTTCTTTTTTCTCTTCTCTTGCTGTAACGAGTGTAACGTTGAGAAAAAAACAGAAAAAGCGTGGGGAACATGCTCTCCAAAATTACAGCATAACATATAATAACGGCGTGTTGCTGGGAAAAATGACAGAAAAGACTCTTCAAAATAAGCGTTTGATTGGACGTGTGATTGAGTCACCACTATCAGCCCTGTGCATCATCACACCCGTTGAGAGACACTCCAAACTTCAGCGTTTTTTGTTGTTTTTTTTGTTTTCACCGGAAAGCACCTTACTATAATAACTCGGTGCTAATTTCCTCAGCTTTCACTAAAACACTTTAAAGCCTGCTCAGGCAGAACAGATGCTCTTATTGCAAACTAGCGTGTGTTGCTTTACAGTATTTTTTCGATGCCTCCATGGACACTTTTCCATAGTGCTTCTGTTTTTTTTTTAATGCTGTGTGTTGACATCACGTTGCAGCGGTTGGGATGTATATACCTCCTGACTCCTCGCTGCCCATGCTGTGAACTCTACACTAAAGCGTAAACAAGCTGTAATTCGGTAGACTTCCTGCAGCTGCTCCGCCTTGTTATAGCTCTTCTACGTATGGAGTTACATAAGATGCTGAATAATTGAAGGCAATTAATTTTAGGAGACCTTTTTCCTGGAGATTCTTCTTTTATGTAAGGATCGGTCAAGACCTTCATCTTCGAGGGGGAGCCCGTGTTGACGAAAGTCGCTGTGGCATTTCCCCCCCAGGTACCCAGGCCTCATTAAAGGATACATGCGCCATTGCAGTCCAGACTAAATTGGAGTGAATGCGCTCTCACCCTGGGGACACAGGCTCATTAGACCAGACTGGTTGGCTTTTCACACTGGGAGTCGACAAGAAACTAACCATTGACCTACAGTTTGTGTCTGTCTGCTGCGGCTTTAAAGGACACGATCGAGATTTCTCAAATCAGAACCCCTTGAGCTCGAGGCTATTTGTTGAGATTTCTCTCTAAATTCAGTCAGTAGCAGCTCTTAGATTGCAAGACTGAAATTTACAACCTTGGACTCTACGGAGAAGACACACTTGAGAGAATTTTGAACTCTCCTTTTCCCTCTTCCACCCAATTAAAACCGCAAATTAAAGAGTAAATAACAGCATTGTACAAGGCAAGAACAGGGACCTCCGGGGTGGAAAAGGGTTGAGAATAGTCAGGTAAGATGGATTAGATTCAATAGATGACTTTTATTCGTCTGTTTGTGTCTCTAAATAGCCGCCGCAACAAAGTTTGGTGTGCAGTTACATAACAGCCTTGGACTAGATTCTGCTGCGCAAGCAAATTAGTGCAACACTTTCCACTTTGTAGTCGCAGATGTGTTTCTTCCAGGGTCATTTTCAGGGGGCGGATTTAGAGGATCATAAATAACAAACATGTAGAGGAGGGAGCAGACAGTGATTAATTCACCCAGTCAGTCATTCAGAAATTTGAGTAATTTGGCAACAACGCATATAAAACATTGCTGATTAGACACTGTGGAGCGTAGGAGGACACTCAAACATGCTTTTTTTTCCCCCCTTCCTTCAGTGTCCAGTGGATGTGAAGCTCATGCCCTTGCATGCAGCAGAGGGTGTGGTTGTGCATATTAACACCAGTCAATCACTTTTGCTGCTTCTGGCAGATTTGCTGACAAAGAGGCTCTGTTTGACCACCTTGTCGCTGGCTTGTTTGTGTTTTCAAGGTCGTTAGGATGGAAAAATAAAAAAAAAGCGAAACCTTTATCCGTCATCTTGTTATCTGTATGTATCCAGTATCCAGATGTATAGTCTGATGGTTTGAAACTTTATTATTTCTAGCGCTGCATTCATGTCAGTGGAAATAAATAAAGAGTGTCGAGGCAGGAACACCTGTGATCCAATGGGCAGGTTTAGGAAATGTAGATACACTCTGCATGTGATGAAATGGAGTGCATGTGTTTGTGCTGCTCTGTGCAGAATTCATTACGGGCTGTGCGATAACTCTGTGTGTGTTCGTGTGTGTGTGTGTGATGCTGCTGATACCAGACACCACCACGCTATCGATGCAATCTGTTAACTCCTCTCTGCATCTATCTTTATCTCCCTCCATCCTTCTTCCTCTTCACTTTCACATACATCCACTTTTTTCTGTAATTTTTCCTTTTCCACCTCCCCTCATGCCTCCATCCCTCTCTGTCTCCAGGACCCCACCCTTTCTCCTCCCTCTCTCGCCGGCTGCCTTCGTTTTCTTTTCACTCGCCCTCCCTTCCACCTTACTCTTTGCCCTCATTCTTTTCCTCCTTGCCTCGTTTTGATCCCTCCCTCCCTCCCTCCCTCTCTCCCATCCCTTCCTCCTTCCCTCCGTCCTGCTGGCTCAGCTGGTATAGAAGCGGCCTTTGTTTCAGCTGTGTCCTCTATCCTTTGAAGGAGGAGAGCTGAAAAGCGAGAGGGAGGGAGGGAGGGAGGGAAGATGTGAGGGATGGACGAGGAAAGAGAGGAGAAAAAAATCCAAGTGGGAAAATGGGATGCGATGAAGGAGAGGGACGATGGAGAAATCCGGGAGGGGGGGTGAAGGAAGGAAAGAAAGGAAGAGGGATATCTTTGGATCAATGGTCAGGGTTGTTCAAGTCATTGATATCCAGTAGCAACAGCATGTGAGGGCAGATTTCCTGTGTGGGAGGCTCAGTCTATGGGACCTGCGCTCTCAACTTCGAACGCTTCCAGTTGGTTCAATGCTGCACAGTTGCAGCGCTTTAGTTCTCAGTTAAACCAAGCAGTTTATTGATAATTAGGCTGTTTTTGAACACAGTCAATGCTGCTGAATCCTGTAGACTTTAACTGTGCTGTAGGCCGACCACACAAAATAAAATACTCGCTTGTGTGTTTGTTTGTGTTGTTTATTTCTGAGCCCAACACTGAATGCCATACTGACTTCTTTTTTTTTTTCCTTTCTTGTTCTGTAGTGAGAAAAAACCTGCAAGAAGATTTTAGATCTGCGCCCTCATCCATGATGTTGTAGCCGTGGTAACATGTGAATCCTGAAGCAGAGTGTTATTTGCTTTTACATCTCTCAAGGTAAGATCTTTGCTTTTTTCTGTTTTCTTTTTCGTTTTCTTTTTAAAAAAAATATTTCGTCAACTTTAAAGTGCACAAAATGTGAAAACGGCATCATATAATGAAAGAGAGCACACACACACATATATACAGTCGTGACTCGATAATCCAACCCTTAATCCGAAAACCTTGCTATCCCGCAGGTTTTTAGGAAAAACGAGCGGAACCCATGAAGAATAGCCTTAACATACCAACAGCCTTGGATTTAGACTCCAACATGACATTTTATATCACAAATAAGGATAACTGCGTATTTTCTGAATTAACAACCTGACAGATTGGCTACGTTCAGACTGCAGGACTTTATGCTCAATTCAGATTTTTTGTGAAATCAGATTTTTTTGCGAGTTCGTTCACATTTCCAATTAAGTGCGACTTGTATGTGATCTGCTGTGTGAACTTCATACGACCCAAAAGTGTCCCGCATGCACAGAAGAGGACACAATGACGTCACACGCAGTGATTGTGCTCAGTGTTTACGGAAGTAAACATGGATGGTAACGGTGGAATATGTGCCACTCCCCCGCCGCCGCCACGGATGGTGGAAACAAAACTGTGACCGCTAACTAAACTGGCATCAACAGCTAAGTACTGACCGTGTGTTCCACCTCAGGGGTGCACTCCGATGGGGTGAAAGTCCCCCCCCGACCGCGCTGAATATTCAGATATTCATCATTAATTGGATCTGTGTTATTCAGACTATCATGAAAAGATCAGATAAAGGTCGTTGCACAGGAGGAAAAAAAAATCTGATTTGGGTCATTTCATCCTGCTGTCTGAACGTATTTACCTTTGATGTCAACCGAAACCACAAGCCCACTGGTCAATTAGAAATCCAGCGATGCGTAGTGTTCTAACTATACGCTAGTTTTTATAACAGCTATAAACAGTAAATGTTGACAAATGACCCTTCAAGCATCAAGCCCTCCTTGTGTCTCAACCTCCATCTTGACAATCCAACAGCCTTGCTATCCAACATAAAAGAAGGTTTTACATTTGGTGTCGGATTATCGAGTCACGACTGTATATATATATATATATATTTAAAATTTTGTATTTATTTATTTACTTTTGTTCCAACTGCTTAAACCCTCTTAGAACAACATTTTTATTTATTTATTTTTTAAGATTAGAGGTTCATGTAAGTATATAATGGGTTCTTCTGTTGGCCAAACTCTAATGTATTTATACAGAACTAGTGATGCTCTTTCCCCCTGTACCTTCTCTTTAAGCTAAGTCGCGCCGATCACCTGCTGGTTCTACTGAATATTTAGCGTCCAGACATGAGCGTGATATGATTCCTTTCATCTGACTCTCCACTAGAGAAGTCACATCTCCCAACATATAGGCTCCTTTAATAACTGCCCGTACCAGGAGTTTGTTCCTCTCGGGACTGTTTGCTGCACAAAGGCTAAATGGAAGCCTCTTCTTCCTGTTAGCAGAAACCAGACTCTGAAGTTACTGTAGTCAAGGAAAGCTGACTAGATCTGGGTCAGCGCCACACTCACCTGGATGCCAGGTCGGCTCGATTTGGCCTCGTAGTGGAAAAGGAGGTATGGTGGAAATGAGGTTGGCATTTTGGCTGTGTCCAATTTGGCTCCGTAGTGGAAACCTGAATAGTGTTGCTTAGTTCTCTGTGCGTTTGCCTTGAAGATTAGTTTGCCCCTGCAGTGGAAACAAGCTGTTAAACCAGACTCCGCTATGGAAATCAGCAGCGCCTGTGGTCTTTACCACTGGTGTGATTAATTCTTCCTTTTGGTTGATAAATATTCACGCCTTTCGCTCCGAACCAGTTTTTTTCTTCCTTCCTTATCACCTCTTATGTCCCTGCTAATGTTTTCAGGCTGATACACGGTAGCTCGTCATCTTCACATAGGCTTCCTCTGTCAGAAACCCACCTCTCACCTCCTCACCCCCCGAGACTCTGCTGCTGATTCCCTTTCCCCCATGCCCTCTCTCTCTCTCTCTCTAACAGCCTGCTTTCCCTTTTTCCTCTCTTCAGCTAGTTGTTAGATCTACACTTCTAACCTCAATACGTCCCTCTGGGATGTGGCTGACTGCTGAACTCAGCTAGAAAGAGGCAGGAGGGAGAAAGTGGGGAGAGGGAAGAAAGGTGGGAAAGTCACAAATCTAGCTTTCCAGTCATCTCCCGTGTCTAGTTAAAACCAGGTTTATCTGATTAGACAAAGGAGAGGAAAAGGATCAGCAGCTACTGACAAATTTAGTTTTTAATAAGCGGATGAACTAAAAAAAATAAAAGCCATTGTAGATGTATGTTTTTTTTTTTATGTAGAAAATCCTCACAGACTAATTAGCACTTCAGGTGTAAAATTCTTGGAGTGGCTCTTAAAACTGTATTATTTACCCAAACTTTTGCGCCGCTACGTCAGAGGATTAGCCGGATTACTTTTAATGAAGAATAAAATTTCATTCCACTCCGTTGAGAGAAAAGTTTTACGAAAATGAATAAGTGGCACAAATGAAAAAAAATAGCGGCTCAACTCGTTCGCATTCAGCCTCGGTGTTTGTAATAAAAAGATTAAAAGTTTGGAAGTTTCTTTGGACTCATGTACAGATTTATAATGTGTGCGCCCCTATAGATGACNGTACAAAAAATGTTATTAAGCAGCTAATTGATGACTAAATTAGTTGACAACTGTTTTAATCGGCTTTAATCCATTAAGTCAGTTCGTTGTTTCAGCCCTAAAAGGCACACGGTTTTAAGAATACCAGCTTAAATGAAAAAATATGAATACACTCCACCAGGTGTTATAGTCTGGGCTTGCGGATGGCATAGCTTTACAGTCTGCTGCTTTTTCAATACCCAGTGTTACTAGGCAGCATCCACTCACATTAACTATAACGCTACTTTCTTACTGCAGTTCATGCAGGACAGTTTAATTAAACTACATTTAGATGTATTAAATTGTCTGATAGTTGAGTCTGCATGCTGTTTATTCACCTGTGTCCTCCAACAGTCCATTGGCATGCAGGTCAGGGTTATATTGTGACACCATACTGAGTCACCAGTTGCCTGTGACGGACTGGAAATCTGTACAGGTTGTACTCTCCCTCTTTGTTTGCTGTGCTAGACTTCAAGTCCTGCTTCTCCACCTCCACCCTCCATTTACATCTCTCCCACTTTAGCTCGTTCATTACCCTAATTCATTCCTCATTACCGCAACCGAAGGACGAGCTGGATGCATTTGCTGACTGACTTAACGAGACATTTGCATCCATATCATCTAGCTAAATGCCATAACTCTCCTTCGTGCAAATGCGATTCACCATTTGGAGAGATCCTCGTAAAATATATTGACAAGAACTCCGTTTGGCAAGAATAAAGTTTGCAAAAGGAGCCTAACAGCTCTGCAGCTTTCAAGGAGGGTTTGATCGCGCTTCCTCCGAGACACTTTTTTTTTTTCCACCGTGACTGCATAGCCGAGAGAGGGGGTGGATGGAAGCAGATATACTGAGGGATGATGGGCAGGAAGAGAGAGCTGGGTGGGCAGAGATGGATGGATATATGGATAGGCAGAGAGAGTGAGAGAAACAGGGAGAGGGTGGAGTGGGTAGCAGTCAAAGAGATAGAGGGATAAGGTGGTAAAGAATGTCAGATGCAGAGATGAAAGATGGTCCAGCTGGGGAGACAACCACCCCCCCACAACACACACACACACACACACTATGTTGTCATCTGGTGTTTACATTTTTACACCGAGCTACGTGATATAAAGTAAGAGTATGATGCGAGGCTGTGAAAAACGGTGTATGACTCAGATTGCCTCCCCGTGTCACGGTTTCGTTGGGATGGGTGTCAAGAGTCGTGTGTTCTGGTGGGATCTGAAGGGTTTCTTGCAGAATTCACCAGACAGTAGTTGTTATTATCGAGCTGAGTATAAATATGAACCATCACATGGGTGCTCAACTATAAAGATCTGCTTCAGGAGCTTAAGAGGCGCCACTGATTGGACTTTGTAGCCAGTTTTCAACTAGAAGTCAGTTTCAAAATGAAGGCACGGAAAACCTCACAGAGGCCGACATACATTTTTAAAGGAAGAGAGACTTGATCCAAAGGGGATGCAAGCAGAGCCAAACCCAACTTGAATAGACTTGAGTATAATTAGACCTTTGCCTGTTGTACCAGCACAAAAAAACCCTCTTACAAATGAAAGATGATAATACGGCGCACGCTGGGTTCCATGTCACTCAGAGTGTTGGACATGTACGGATCCAAGACCTGCAGCAGAAAATCAAGACGCTATCCAACCTAATTATACTGAGTAGGATTCGAATCGGATCCACTCGGGGGATTCGAGATTCCTTAGAATTGATGAGACCCCTGAAGACCTCTCGCCCAGGCTGGAATATCTCATCAACTGTCAGAGGGATCGCTGTGAGTCTTTCTACAGATGTTTGTGATTCCCAGAGGATGACTCCCTCAGACCTTGATCTTCTCCCGGACTTTTCACCATGTTTCTTCATCTACAAGATACAGCAGAGTGGTGCAAGTATTGGTTTTCATGGTCACCAGAAGCTGTGTCCAGTGAGGTGACGTTTCATGTGGTGGTAGGTTGACCTTTGTGGCTCAGGTGGTAGAGCGGGTTGTTGGAAGATTGGCGGTTCGATCCTGTTAGACCCGATTCTTTAGCCCAAGAACAAACTGGAGAAATCTTCAGTTCTCAGATGTAGAATTTATTTTAGGTCACAGGTAAAGTGAGGCAGCGCTGGATTCAGAGGGACAGAGCGTAATCTCATGTCCAGCTGAACTGTTTTTTCAGTATCAGGTTACAGATATCTTCTTGGGCTGGGACTGCCCCGAAGATAGGTAAGACTTGTACACTACTGAGTTTAATTGGCCAGTTACCAATGACATGGACAGGCATACCTCTTCTGTCCACGTCCTTGAAATTTGGTAAGCAACGTGTGGATGTTGTTGCTAGCTAAAGTATGAATCATAT